GTCCAAACAAAGCTACTCCCCCATCTTAGTTTCCTTCCAAGAAGAAAGTTGAGTCATGACTAACATCATTGATCATGCTATAAGAGATGGCTGCTAATGAATCTCCTTCCACAAGTTTGTGCTTTATATTTTTAAAATCTGCTATTTTTCATCAATATTTTAATAAAATTCACAAAAGGTTATGGGTTTAATTTGGATTGAATAAAAGATAATCAGAAGTAAATAGATGGTAAATCAATAGATCTAAAATTAAAATCTGATAAGTATCTAGCATGTGCCAGGCACTTTACACACATTGTTTCATTTAATCTTCACATTCTTTTTTTTAAATTTCAGAATATTATGGGGGTACAAACATTTTGGTTACATAAATTGTTTTTGTCAAGGTGAAAAGTGTGCCCATCCCCCAGATATAGTGCATTGAACCCATTAGGTGTGAATTTACCCATCCCCTCTGTTCCCCTCCCACGTTTGTTCACACATATTCTGTTAAGCAGAGACTGTTATACCCATTTTCTATAGGAGCAAAGTGAGGTTTAATACTTGATCAACACTTGATGAATGTCACTGAATTGGCCAATTTTGCCTGGTCTCAAATCCTATCTTCTACTATGCAGCCTGAAATTCAACCTTAAGATTTCAGGTAGTTTATTACCCATTAATCAATGTTTCATACAGCCTACATAACGCTAAAAACAAAATAAAATCAAGATATCAATTTGGGAATTGTCTACTTACAATAAAAAAACCCCACAAAAACCCATACGGGGAAAGATTCCTTAATTCTAGTCATCTTGGCAGTAAGTTTAGTGTTTGTTGTTCTTATTTCTTTATATGAGCCTGAAGGCAAAGGGAAAAATTAGTCTTAAAAAGGGTTGTCTTCACAAACCATCATGCTGACAAATTAAATGACGGTAACCTCTCTCAGCAGCTGACAGCTTAGCAGGGGTCCTGTTAACATGTGCATTAGGGCAGACTGATTGGTTTAATTGGCAGCAGTGCCTAAAAACCTGCAGAGGAACTGATGTTGAATGAATCATTTCCTTCAGCAACATTCAGCAGTTTGAATGCAGCAATGCAACTAAAGCCTCTTAAAGTTGTTCTATTTATTGTTGAAATCAACCGACCAAGTGATTACTTTCATTTTATTTTCTAAAAAAGTATGCTTTCACTGAAAGTCATCATTTAAAAATGCTACAAAGAAAAGATTTCTTACCAAATTTTCCCATATCTCAAACTGGAAGGTACTAGAGGCAGACAATGTCGTGAGGAATAAATCTAGAAGGAAAATAATAGCAATGTAAGTTCTGCAGTCATACTGATATGTACATTTAAAAACAGAAAAAAATGCAATACATTAAATAATCATGAATACAATTCTGCTTAAAGATATTTTAAATTATATTTCAACAAGTTTGATCCTATTGAAAAAAGAAAAGAAAAAAAAAAAGGAAAAAAAAATAGCTGGGTGAAGTGGCTCATTCCTGAAATTCTAGCACTTTGGGAGGCTGAGGCAGAGGATTGCTTAAGGCCAGGAGTTTGAGACCAGCCTGAGCAAGACA